TCCATTGCTTTTACTCTATTTTATTTGTGAATGTGAAGTATTGGCTCATATTAGTACATGAAATCAAAGAGTTTTAGTTAAAGTCAAAGTAGGTTGTAAAATATTTTATGTCTTTCACCCCAGTTGTCCCATCAGAGACCCAATTTACATTGTTAAGTGGTGCTGTTCCTTTATATTGGGTTTTGACACTCAATACTTTAAGAGTTGTACTTACTGTTACTCAATACAAACTATAGGGATATTTAATTCTCCAAGTGTCACCTTCTCTTTTTGAAAAAGAGAAATGCTGTCGAAGTTTTTCATCATGCAGTCATCAGCACTGATGCAAGAATACCAAAATATAGAGGAAACAGTTTATATTGCATGAGAAATAAGTGCTCCTTGTTGGTAGGTTGACTTGGTCAGTTGAGGAATTGCTGCAGAATAGTATTGCAAAGTAGTTTCACCCAGCCAGAAGTGTATTGAAAGTTTGGAATTGTATCCAGGCAAACTGATGTAGTACTAACAACACTGACTTGCTTGGTTGGGTTTCTTACGTTACCTTTCATGCTGTTTTCAATATTTTTCTTCTCTACAACAGAATGTGACAGTTACAACAGACCAGTTGAGAAATCAACTGACTTAGGGACAAACCAAATTGACCCACACAGATAAAGAGTGGAGAATGTTAACAGGATTTATTGGAACTTTCATAGGCTTGTTTATGCATGGTTTTCCATTCCAACTGGTAGTGTGGATAATCAGTTGTAAAGGGAGACTTCTCAGTTTTTCTCAGTTTACTGCTTCAAATAACTCATGTCAGTTAAATTACTTAAGTCACGCAGCAAAGTCCAAACTAAAGTTGTGGCTCTGGAACTTCTTCTCCTCCTTCCAGTCCAGTGTTTAGAAATAACGTTTCTTCCAGCATCTGGCGGAAATTCATGTGGTGTATGTAATGTTGGGTGATGATGAAATGTTTTCCTTGATCAACTATGGATATCAGGGACAATTCTATGAAATTTCACCAGCTGAGACTGCATATTATGAATGCGAACCCTGGCAGACTGAACACAGATTTTTGAAATTATTTCCCAAAACTCTACTTTAAAGTTCCACTTATCTTTTGAAATTGAAATGCAGACCAAATGAGTGGTGCTGATAAAGGAAACTAGCCAGGTCTACCTGTTGTACTGGTATGGACGAGTAAGAGTAATGCATTAAAATCCAAGAAGAATGTACCATTTCTGCCAGTTATCTGAATGATAACTGTGGACTAAAATGTGGACATTCATTTTCCCAAATAAGTACTATATTTCCATTTCGAGAGTTACCTGCCTTTACTGGATAGGATAAGCCACAGGCTTAATAGACCAAAATGTCTGAAATTGCTCAATGATTTGCTTATAAATCTAAATTAATGGTGCACAATGTTCAGTGTTGTGGACATTCAGTTAATCTGTTACAACTTCTAACAATCACCTTTTGAGACACTTGGGAGGGGTGGGGGTGGATTTTGGCTAGAAAAGTGATAGGTGATGTCTGGGAATTACTACTTTGTCACTGTGTGTGTGTGTGTGTAGGAGGTGGAGATGTGGGTTAGGCGGGGGGAAAATGGTCATTGGGTGGTGCTGTCAGTTGTCTGGTTTGGTTTGTGTCGAGCTAGGGAAAGGAGTACCATGTGTAGAAAGAGCAGGACCATAAACAATGGATACATTATAGGATATTAAAGGAAGTAGCTACAGAGATAGTGGACGCACTGGTAATAATCTTGTAGGAATCCTTAGATTCTGGAAAAATCATAGGGGATTGGAAAACTCCCAGTGTAACACATTTATTTAGAAAGGGAAGGAGCCAAAAACCAGATAATTATATGTCAATTAGCTTGATGTATCTGTCATTGAGAAAGTGTTAGAGTCTATTATAAAGGATGAAATAGCAGAGCATTTAGAAATGCAAAATATGGTCAACCGGAGCCAGCATGGCTGAAATCATGCCTGACAAATTTACCAGAATTCTTTGACGAGGCACCCAGCAGGACAGATAAAGGAGGCACAGTGTATTTTCAGAAGTCATTTCATAAGCTAGCATACATTAGGCTTGTTAATAAGATTAGAGCCCATGGCTTTGGAGGTATTTAATCAGCATGCTGATGTTGATTAACTCAGTTAGATGGCTACAGGATGTATGTCTTTGGCTAGAGACTACTTCCTCCCACATTCTGCTGCAGTATCTCCCAAAGTCAAGCAGCCTTTCCTCTCTGCTGATCCCACTGAAGCTCGCCTGATTGTCTGTGATATTCATTGATTTGTAGAGAAGCTTGGAACCTAATCTCAAAAACAAATTACTTCTGCCCTCTTGATCGTAGTAATGTGAAACACATTAGCCTTGTATCTAGGTAGAAAATGCTAAATAGCTATTCTTGACTTAACTCCCTTTCATCTTAAAAGTAAATGGATGGTTTACAGTACCCCTATTTACAGTGTGATACTAGCAAGATTTTTCTGGGTCTTTGGGGACCCAAGAGGCTGCTGCCATTGTCAAAAAGTGTGATGAATCACACTTTATTCTCAGTAAAACAATCTAAGCCTTTGTTTGATTTCTAACAATCAGACCACTCAGGCCTACTGCGGAAAGACTCAGAACAGGCCGCATGATGTCCTTCATTTACCCTAAATTCAAAACTACAGACCCAAGACCCCTAAGAAACCTCAAAATTATAAAGATGCCACCAAGATGAGGCTGCTATCTGCCATGAACCTCTTTTGATGGGTCAGTGCTGATGAATGGCAGTATGGCAACATCCTGGACCATGACATTTATCTTTCTGATGCTGAAGCATATCAGGCAACTTTATGTTGCTGTTGCTGCCAGTTTTTCTGGCCTAATAGCATGGATATTGGTGTTGCTGACGTGACGGTAAAGAAAGCAGGTTATCTATGCTGATGTCTTTGGCAGTCATTGTTTAAACAAACACCATTCAACAGAGGTAATTGAATAATCAAAAGGATGATAAAGTTAATCAACCTGTTCGTAATCATTTGACTTTTGAACAGTGGTTTAGGGTGAATTCCCTTTTAAAATATAGAAGAAGCTATTCATAATGGATGGCCTGTGGATGTGGAATTATATTTTTCAGGCCTAATTCTCGGTGACCTACCATTATGTGTTGGTGATGAACTAGGTTCACCATAACCAGGCCCTCTGCTTGTTCCAGACTATGTGATTCAGTGTTGATTGTGCAAACACTCTGATTATAGCAAAATGATGAATCACAGAAAAATTAGTAGACTTTTCTTTCCTTTCAGTCTGGAAATCTGTAATACAAAGCAAATATTCTGTTATTCAAAATTTATCATTTCTTTATTTTTCTAATTTATTTCTATGATTTTGTACTTTTGAAGGTCTGTAATGCTGGACTTTTTATTTCTTTATTTTTCTAATTTTTTTTCCTAAGAATTGTACTCAAGAATCTGTACCTAGGTAGTTTTGTATCTAAGGTGGCGCCGTAAGTGGCGACTTGTAAACTTTTCACTGCACTCGTGAGTACATACGACAATAAAGCTAATTCATTCAATTCATATTGCAGAACTATACAGTCGAGCTGTGAGTAGCAACGAAATAAGTGTCGTTCCTGTGGATCAGTGGTTTTCATCATGTGGTTCGGATTTAATACCTAGCCAGGGAATGATTCTTTCTCTCTCCACCTCAGAAAGTGGTGAAGGCAGAGTCATTAAATATTTTTACGGCAGAGGCTGACAGTTTCATGACTAACAAGAGAGTCAAGGACTATCAGGGTATGTGGGAATGTGGAGTTGGGTCCACAGTCTGCAGTGATCTTATTGAATGGTTGAACAGCCTCGAGAAGCTGAATAACCTACTCTGTTTCCTAATATTCTATGTGTGTATTTTTGTATGACTATTTTGGAAAAGTAAATCAAATACTTTCGAGATAATATTTCAGGTCCTTGAATCCTCTTAAATAGCTGTTCACACAATTAATTTAACCTTTTATTGCAGTACACTGAAAATTATGCTACAAAGGATCAGAGCTACAAGGTGATATTTTATGTCATTGTCCCCAATGCTGGCTAAACTGCGTGTGAAGTGCTGGACGGAGAATAGAGAATGGAATGCAGGATTCTTAATTTTCTTTTGTCCTTGTCAAGATGTAGTACATAGTTGAATGTAAAGCACCATAGATGCAGACAGCATCTTAAGACCTATAACGTGTGTTAATTCTGATGTACGACATTTACATTTGCTCATATTCTGTCTAATATATTTTTTGAATGTGGTATGCATTAGTGCTAGCTTGAGTCCTTGTCTATAGCCCTCCAAACTATATTTAAACTGCATAAAACATGTTATGTATATAGCCAGCCAAGAAAGAGAATACATGAAGAACTTTGAATCATTGGCCTGGGTTGGGCAGACCTGAAAGAACATTGTGAACAATCTACTGGATCACCCAACCCCAAATTGAATTGAAAAGTAATATGCAACAATTTCACAAGACTGAATGAGTTTGTATGAAAGGTGAAGACTGTAATGTGGCTCCTCTTTAATTCCCACATTGCACTCCACTCATACAGTTATTTTGGCAGCATGCAGCTTGGTTTTCTGTACATGTGTGCAACTATTGTTGAACAATACCACGCCAGAATGAATTTCTAAGTCTGTACCACAAAAGCTTGGATTTACAAATAAATTCCTCTGCTTGTATAATTGTTGCATTGACTTTTGCTGAGTTATGGGTCCATGGTTACCTTGCTGTCTGTCTTCACCCTTCACTTATGAACTTACAGCATGTTAAACTGTGGAGGCCATAACAAGTATAACTGATTCTATCCATGCCTCTATGAGCCGGGGAACAATCCTCGGTAGCTCAGAGATAAAACCTGCTACCCACCTGTTCCACGTGTCTCATTTGAGACATGAAAGTAGCTAATTTGGTGATTTTTCTGACTGTGCCTGAGATTGTGCACTTATGTTTGTGACTGAACAAATCTCTTGTTTTCTAGCTGTGATCAGGGACTGCAAGTTATCCTAAAGGATGAGCAGCACAATGTCAACCGCGACAGACTATGACAGCATTGAGATACAGCAGCAGTATAACGACATAAATAACCGCTGGGACGCCAACGAGGAGGAGTGGGACAATGAAAACAGCTCTGCGCGACTCTTTGAACGCTCACGTATCAAAGCCTTAGCAGGTAGGCAGAAAATACTGGTAGGTGAGACTAACAGTTACAAGGCAGGAAAGGAAAAATCTACAGCTTAACAGAGCTGTAAATGAAGAAGAAAGGGACTTCTCTTACAAAAACCAAAGGTAGGACAAAATTCAACCTTTCATTTTACTGTTTCTATTGACCTTTCATGCTAGCTTTCTCTCTTTGAACATGTTGTTTTTCACAATATGGAGAAATTCCCTTTCTGGCGTATTGCCAAGTGGTCATTCTTCTTTAGTGAAACTCCATGGAAACCCTGATCCCATCCTCGCTCAATTGATTCTTGCACACTTTCCAACAGGGTTCACAAAAAATTAATTAAAACTGGGTATTCTTTCTGACTGATTATTTGCTTCCTTGGCACAGGGCATCAAGATCAAGTGTATAACCCCAATATCAAACATGGAAACAGAATAGAATTATTTAAGTTCTGATGAAGAATCACCAGACTTGAAATGTTGACTCTACTTTCTTGCCACAGATGTTACCAGATTTGCTGAGTTTCGCCAGCAATTACTGTTTTTGTTTCAAATCTCTGGCATCTGCATTTCTTTGTTTCATTAAAGAACTATTTAAGTCCCAGGGAGTTAAAACATCCTCATCCTGATGGGGTTGCCCTATTGTCCTGCACCTGCCTGTCCATGCCCTGTTAAAATAGCAAAAATAAAGCATTCTGGAAATCCAGTAGGTTAGGCAGCATCCTTGGAGAGAGAGCAAGTTAACATTTTGAGTCTAGATGACTCTTCAACAGAACTGATGACAAGCCAAGTCTGATGTTGATTTGAACGTTGCTGTGGCGTAGTATTTTTTTAAAGCACTGCATTTGTTCAAAGGTAAAATCGTGTTAGACATCTTGCTGTTTGAGTAATTCAAGCTGCAAATTATTTCAGTGTCTTCTGTCGTTTCTTTCATGATTGAAGAGGCCAGTGCAAGTATGGCATGGAAGTCCGCAGACTGGCAGCTCATGTTACAATCATTGGTGCTTGTCACAGCAACAGCGTCACCTCTGATCTTCATCTTGGCGTGTCAGATACTGCAAGTTTGGCGTAGATAGTTCTCAAGACATGAGGAACTAAGCTTTATTGCCTGTTGCGCAAGGGCTAGTCAAGTGTCGTGTTTTTGCAAGAGAGATGGTCTGCAATGCAGAACCATTTAAGGTTTTTTTTTAGAATGCCCTTTTGTTGTTTGTACTTTGCTGACAAACGTTTCTTAGTTTTAGTAGTACCTGCTTTAATATTCAAGTCTCTGTATAGAATTCACTTGATATCCTTTAAAAAGTTAGCTTCCTTTAAAAAGTATTTTTCTAACCTTCAGGGGAGGTTAGGTGTCTGTGTCCTTACAAACAGTCAATTTGTTTATGGTGAAACATTTGTTTGACAGTCCGTATGTTAGATTAAAGCTGAAGTGTACTTTTCACTTTTTTTTGCCTAATCTGTGCCTAAATTGAGGTGAGATGATAATGGTATGTTTTGTCTATGTTATAAAAAAAGTCATGAGAAGTAATGAGAGCAATATGCAAGTGGAAACACAACTCCATTGTATCCGGTTCAAAACCACCTGATGTTATGCAGTACCTACAGCACCTCATCACCACATAGTCTGTGCATTGTAGATCTTTAATGAAAACATCTGTGTCCTATTACAGCACAGGGGATAACTTAGCCACCCAGTATGAAAACATATTTTGCTGGAGATACACAATAGGTCAGTCAGGATCAGAAAAGGGGAATAAAAGCCTAAAATTTCACATTGATGTTCCTTCACAACTGAAACTGAAAGTCCCTTGACTGAGAAAAATAAGAACAGGAATGTTTGGGGCATGGGACATGTTAATGTATGTGTGAGAGAGATACACACAACAGAAGGAGGAAGGAAACCCAGCTGTTAAAGTTTCCCAGTACCTATTCTAACTAATAAATTTCTGAGAGGACATGACAGGATATATGCTAAAAGTATGTTAGTATGAGTTGTCACTAGTGAGTGAGAAGGTGCAGAGGCCATGCAGGTTTCATAGTCTCAGGTACTGGGTGGACGAGAGTGAGTCCAGGAAAAGATTGCATGTAATAATGAGAATGGTTGGCTATGATTCATGGTGGGAGGTGCGCTGCATTAGACGAGAGAGTGAGTGTGAGGTAACTGAGAGAAGATGGAGGCAGTTAGCCTGACAGAATGGAGGAGGTCATTGACCTTCCTGTGGCATTGCTGGGCATTCCTCTGGATGGTTGAGACCATACTGACCCGATGCAGCCTTAGACCTGGCTGGCAGGGCTTGGTGGTGTGACCTCCTGGGAGATGCTGATGGTCTTCTTCTGCATAACCCATCCAGATCCATGTCTGCAAAGCAATGCGGCAATTTTCCCTTATCATGCTAGCAATGTCTGAGTCAAATGTTATAAACCACACAGGGCAATGCCAGACAGCCAGTGCTAATCTCGGAGCACAATAGCCTTTTATAGTGCCAGTGCCGGGGATCCAAGAGCACTCCATGAGTGGCAAGTGCTTCCAACTATAGGGAATGAAAGAATCAGGCTAGCATTGGATGAGAAGGACACCATAGAGGTGTGGTACGCAGTTAATGGAGTAAGTGTGAGCTGATCGTGTGAGATCCTTGTGGAGAGAAACCCTCCATGAAACTGGATGACACTCAGTTGATTTCCGGTTAGATTCAGACCTATGTAACTTACAAGACTAACATTCTTTCTGTGGAAATTATCAGCCTAGAATTTGGTACCTTGTTTATTTATCTGAAGATTATCTAGTGATCTGAGGTTAGAGGGTGGTCTGTGGTTTCAGCTAGTGAGCTAACAATAAAGTATAATACGTGCTCGTAAAACTTGAAACATTACTGCATAACTTCACAACAGAATTAGGGCTTCAGACAAAATTAAGAGGATTGATTAACAAGCGACAGGAGATTTATTCATTTTTGTGTGTCTTCATTCTAACCAGAAGCAGAGCTAGAAACTGTTCCCTTTTGCTCAGCCTGTGGGACAGACTTTATACAAACAGTAAAACTACAGAGCGCAACAGTACTGAATATACTTGCAAGTTATTTTTTAAGGTAGGCATTTTATCGCTGTTTTGATTTGTAAAAGGTTAGAACTGAATGGGAGTCATCGATGAATGCACAATGCACTCATAGCAAATCTTAGGGATGCTGTTTTTGAGCAGGCATTAATCAAGTAGATCTCAAAGCTACACTTGACCATAGCCAGTAGTCCTGGGATTAAATGAACTCTTGGAATATCTTATTACCATTTCTACCTGTATTAACTCTATAATCTTGAACTTCCTTTCGGCTTATCCCAGGAAGAGAATTGACACAGGATTGACTGCTTAAGGTGCAAAACGATGTCTTCTATCTTTAGTTTCATCTTGAGACTTGTGCATCCTATATTTGCACACTTTCGTTCTGCACTCAGAATTCAAGTTCTATAATCAGTTTACTTGTTTCCAATGTGCCCCCTTCTGGGATCCAGAGAAAGTTCATAGAGTTCAAGAATGTGTTTTGAAATAAGAGATCTGAGCTTCAGAAACTTTTGGCGTTGTTTGCTCATATAGGTCTACTGAAATTGGGGTTTAAAAGGCAGGAAACACTGCCAAATAAAATTATAGATGGAATCTTCCAAGGCTCTAAATGTTGTGGGCTGTGGCGATGAATTTGTGAGAATCATGTGACAAGGTAAGTAAGGATTTTTTTGACCTGAGAGTGAGAAGTCGCATTTTCCAACTAGGTTCTGGATGTTGGGACAAGATTTTTGTGAGTGGTGAGCGCCTATTAACATAAATTATTGCTCATTTTCACCTTTATTATTACTTAATACCACTTCATTAATATGCTCTTTCCTACTCTTCCACCCACCGGATCAAAAGGAGATGCCAGGAATTTTTGACATTAAAATCAGAATGGGTAACTGGCTCTTCCTTGGACACCCAGCGACCAGTGTCTCAGGGCATATATCCCACGACCACGGATGCTGGCATTTGCCACGTGAATCTCTGCACCATCATGGCATATCTGGTAGTGCAATTCAATCCTGGAAATTTGGAGGGTAAAATGGTGGTGAAAGAAGGAGATTGGATATTTAAGAGGGAACTGATATCGCAGGGGAGGAAATGGGATGCTCACCGAACTGTAGTGACGGAGCTCAGGGGATAGGGATGAGAATTAGAGTCGTAGTTCAAGGTGTTGGATAAGAACATGTGGGAGTTTAGTGGAGCCGGACTATCCAGGGAGTGCAAGGCAGAAAGGGATGTGGAGATTCAAGGCTGGGGTGAACGTGCTGATCAGACTGAGCCTGAAACTTATGATGTTGACCATGACCTGCATTGCCTTTCATGATCTGTCATGCTAATTGCAACCTATTAATGCAAAATGGAAGCGACCATGCTGACCAAAAATGTGGGCTCCATTTCTGAACAATGGAAGGCTCTTCATGGGGCAATTGTATCATTCATGCACTTCAAGGGTGTAGGTTAAAATTACTTGCAATCATATCATTGTGCATGTTAAATGCATGCATTGCACAAGTGTGTGGGGTGCAAATGCTGGTCAGAAGCAACTTTTTCCATGTCATTGGTTCTTGCAGATTGATGATAGACATCTCTGTGAATCAAAAGTAACCACAGGCAACCATAAAAGAGGCGCCTGCAGGTCACAATGCGCACAATTAATGCAAGACCTCCAGTGGTGCAGAGGGTTACGGAATTGATTTCCTCTTAGCCTGAACTGTAAATATAATGCAAGGCTCTCTCAGGTGTGGTGATGAGGGGTTGAATGGAGAAGGGTTCATTACTCATGCATCGCTTAAATTCTCTACTGTTTGTTTGTCACGTGATAAAATGCCAAGATGAGTCATGCCCTCCTTGTCTTAATATCCCATCTCCTATTGTATAGAGGAGTATGTTTAGCCTTCATTTCTACGGGATGCAAATGCTGCCTGTTCATATCAGTAAGAACCTCAGGTTTATTGGAAGTGTGACTA